ATCACTTGGTGGCATGAAAGCTACTATGTAATCAATTAAGTAAATTGTCAATGACGGCACAATGCCGCAGGACACCTTAGGACACTGCATTGTGACGTCATTGGTTAGCGTGAAGAACTTAAAAGACATTGAAAATGAGGAAAATGATGGCGTAGTCAAATAGAAAAAGCTTGTACACAGACATACATAGTACGTGCATACATAAAGTCCATAGATTTTTTAATATCTGTGCTGCTTTCAAGTCATAACTATTGCGTGATGAAAATAGAGATAGAGCTCTATACCTACATATGTATGTATGCATACGTACGTGTACACGTGTACACTACAATGTATAAATACACAGATTATAAGGATAACACACCCTTGTTGTTAACTTAGTATGACGAATGAAATATGTACGTACATACATATTCATATGCATTTAGAGGTATGATATTAAGATTGACCTACCGTAAGCTGCCGAATTAAGGACGTATAGAGAATTCGGTACAATTATTATTTAATGTTTTTTTTTCAATCAAACCAATAATAATAATACATTGGCGCCTACACAATATGTTAGCGTTTGGCCGAGCTTCTCCTCCGAATTGTAGCGTGAGCCTTGACATTGTCACATAAAGGCGATTGCATTTTCATGAGAAGTTTTCTTATGACAAAGTAGTAGTAGCAAAAATGAAAATTTTTTAACTAAAATAACAATAACACTATATTGCGAATGAAAAATATTTAAACTTTAATATGGAAAATTTTACTCATACGCCATGTACGTGTATGTACGAGTAGGGCCAAGTACGATATGGCGTATGAGTAACATTATTTCATGCTCCTATTTCATACAAAAAAAATTATTGCACATTTTCATTTGGCCATTCACCACTTGTTTATTTATCCATCGATTTTCATCGTTAGTGGCATGATACGATAATTTTTAACCGACTTCCAAAAAAGGAGGAGGTTATCAGTTCGTCGGAATATTTTTTTTTGTTTTTTTGTTTTTTTTTGTTTTGTTTTATGTATGTTACCGCATAACTTTGGACCGCGTCAACCGATTTCGATTCGGATCATGAGATATATATATATATATATTTTTTTTTATATGGGAGTTGAAGTCGGTTTTTTTTTTGCTAAAAATTACTAGTTAGAAGGTAATTTCACTTAACAATTTTTGACATAAACCGAGTCTGTAACAAACGCGCAATGTGGCCGATGCTAATGCTACGATATAGAAATTGGGGATTTTCGCTTATTATTATAGATATTTTTTAACAGAACATGAAGATATTTATATATTTGATAATTGATCACTTCATTTTTAATATACATACATATACGCATTTAATAGATACTTACATACCTGCCACTGCTAATCACATAAAAAACATATCGTCGATATTTTTGCAAAACCGCCCATCGACCATTTGCAAAGCCACTCAAATTCCACAGGAGAGCGAAAAAACGGGTGTTCTTTGAAGGCATTGCCTTGATAGGCGGTATTTTCTCTCGCAATTATTTTACAAATCTGTTATTTTAATAACGATTTTACGATTCTTATGCATAAATCTCGATGCCTGGAGTTCAAGGTAACCAAATCTCATTTTTGTCACAATGGCAATTTAGGCGGTTTTGAAACTGGTTTTTCTTGTTTAAAATGTTTTAGATCCACAACAGATTAGTCGGAGCAATTAAGTTGGTGTAGTGTGCGCTCCTCCATACATCTTCATGTATGTATGTACATATTTCAAGCGAGCCCCAAGTATTTAAATCGGCGGCCGATAAAGTCTGTGGTGTGCGACGGCTCTTTGGTTGTATCCTTACATCTATTCCGTGTATTGCAACATCCATGGAAGCAGCACGTAATTTTTTAATAATTTCTTATGCAGAAAATTATTAAAAAAGTATTTGAAAATTTCTGTTTGGCTTTCCTTTGTTTTATTTTTCCAACGTCAAAAGCTGGATGTTTTTTTTTAAGTTGGTAAAACAAAAAATACGAAACACTTTGTCTGTCAGATAGCTAAGATGGCGGATAAGAAGAAGAAGTGAAACTACCTTCTGATAATTATTGTACAAAAAATGTGCTAGTTTTCATTTTTTTCCTTGTTAAAGGCATGATAAAAATATAGTAAGGTAGAACCGCTGAGAGTTACTTTTAAAATTCTTGACGTTTCCAAACAATTTAATTTTTAAATTTACTCACAGACTCACACACACATTTTCATTTTCAATCTCAAGCAACAACAATTTCGAAAAATTTAATTTTTTTATTTTCAATTTTATATGATTTTAAAATGCTGACAAACTTAAAAAAAAAATCATGGCCGACAAATTGAGAGAACGGTTCTACCTTGCTATGCTTTTATCATGGTTAAAGGGCCGTTTTCAGCTCTCAAGAAAAACAAAAAATTCATATAGAATGACGCATAATCAAGGCGAATTTATATAAGGTGATAGCAGGAGTACAAAAACAAAAACTTACATGTATTTTGTTTTTGCTTTGGCGGCATAAACTGTCAAAATATGTAAGAGTGTGTGTGGAAATTCAAACAAAATTTTTAAATTTGACATAAGAATCCGTGAGGCGAAACACATACACAAAATCAGCTGATCTAGTAACACCACCTTATATAAATTCGCCTTGCGCATAATGAAATAAATTTTCTTCTATCAAAATTTATTAAATCAATTTGCAGCTCTCAAAAAAATGTATTTCTTCAAGAAAATTTACAGCAAAAGCAAAGTGCTTTTTCAAGCAACAGAATTAATTAAAAATATTTCCTGTGATTTTTCTTGAGAGCTGGGTGCCAATTTTTGTTCTGCGAAAACGTGAAGTGAAAACATTTTTCATCACTTCACATAAAAATACGATTCTGCTTTCAAATGGGAAAAAATTAATATGTCAAAAATTTTTCACTGTGAAACTTTTTTCACAAAGTTTTGTGGCTTTGAAAACCACCATCTTGTGATAAAGAATATCATTGTCTTAAACTCACAATAATTTACCAAATAATTACTTGCTAGCTAGGAATAGCCTTTAATGATCGAGAATCGCTTAAAATGATATAACGAAACGATAAATTGAAAAAATTAAATTTTCATTTACATTGAATTTTTCATTTTCACTTCACGGTTTCATTGAACCGGAATGGGCCCCGGGATTATAAGCTTAAAGTCCAAAGCTGGGTTATGCAAGACTTAGACTTAACTTGTCTTACCTAGAAACTTAGACGCGATTACTCTTCGTGTCATCTATTGCATTTTTTATTTTGTTTTACACTAAAATTGATACAAATCTACATTTAATATATGTAAATATATTTACAAATAGTGATTGTTTTTATTTTATTTTCTGTCGTTATTTGAAAGCTTGTTTTTCGATTGCCAGATGAATTACATTTATACAAAAAATTATATTTGTGTGACTTATTTGTAGGGATTTTATTAAAAATGAAATGGCAGCATGATTCTCTCACAGCTCTCTTTGCACTTAGAAATTTAACTTAGAAATCAAAAATCTATAGTTATCCAGTTTTTAAGTGAAGATGTTTTGTGGGTAACTACATACACGGCGCTGCTTATTTGCCAGATATACAATTTTCAAGTGAAGTCAAGTCTGAGTCTTGCATAACTGAGCTTTTAGAACTTTTTTCATAAAAATGAAAATAGTTTGTGTAATTGACCTGATTTGGTTAAACGGTATACAGATCCATAATATTCAATCCAATGTTAAGTTCAGAGTTTTGAGTTAACTAGAAACAAAAAATCCTTTTTAAATTAAAGGAATTGATTACTAATTACAATTCCTTGTAATTTGTAATTCAGAGTAATTCAATTCCTAAAGGAATCATTACGACCCAGCTTTACCTACGGTCCCTTTCTCTTTCTTTAAAAAAAA